GTGACCCCCCATACTGAAGTATTGGTAAGCCCCCATTGATGTTACGATTGCCAGTGACCCCCCATACTGAAGTATTGGTAAGCCCCCATTGGTGTTACGATTGCCGGTGACCCCCCATACTGAAGTATTGGTAAGCCCCCATTGATGTTACGATTGCCAGTGACCCCCCATACTGAAGTATTGGTAAGCCCCCATTGGTGTTACGATTGCCAGTGACCCCCCATACTGAAGTATTGGTAAGCCCCCATTGATGTTACGATTGCCAGTGACCCCCCATACTGAAGTATTGGTAAGCCCCCATTGGTGTTACGATTGCCAGTGACCCCCCATACTGAAGTATTGGTAAGCCCCCATTGATGTTACGATTGCCAGTGACCCCCCATACTGAAGTATTGGTAAGCCCCCATTGGTGTTACGATTGCCAGTGACCCCCCATACTGAAGTATTGGTAAGCCCCCATTGATGTTACGATTGCCAGTGACCCCCCATACTGAAGTATTGGTAAGCCCCCATTGGTGTTACGATTGCCAGTGACCCCCCATACTGAAGTATTGGTAAGCCCCCATTGATGTTACGATTGCCAGTGACCCCCCATACTGAAGTATTGGTAAGCCCCCATTGGTGTTACGATTGCCAGTGACCCCCCATACTGAAGTATTGGTAAGCCCCCATTGATGTTACGATTGCCAGTGACCCCCCATACTGAAGTATTGGTAAGCCCCCATTGGTGTTACGATTGCCAGTGACCCCCCATACTGAAGTATTGGTAAGCCCCCATTGATGTTACGATTGCCAGTGACCCACCACACTGAAGTATTGGTAAGCACATCAGTTTAGGAGATAAACTGGACGACAGAGATACTCCATCCTCAGAGGAAGAAGATGACGTTGATGATGAGGTGGACAACGGTACAAAGGAGGTTCCAGCACCATCAGACCCATTGGTAGATGCGAGATGTCTCACTTTCCGGCCGGAAGATAAAATGTCCCTCCTGACTCCGGACGTAGGGTCAGAGAATGGAAGCCGAGGTAGTTGAAAACTTCACCGACGGGAAATTAACATCTAGGCAGACCATTTTTCGGGTTTTTTTATTATATAGGCTTTATGCAAACCGTTTATTCTATTTAACAATTAAATATACATACATTGGTACGGATACCAATATTTTTTATCGAAGAGGGTATTTGTAACAGGCTGGTAAGCACGTGTTGTCCATCTTACGCATTTCGCTAGACTCAACTATATTTCAATATGTTCTTATTACTAAAATAATCATTGTCATATCAAAAAAACATGCTATGTTATATAAAGTGTGTAGTATTATACTTATCTATACCTTTATATTTTGTCCATACCTTTTAAAAGCAGTCTTATAACCAAAATAATTATATAAAACTGCCATCTGCCAATTTACTACCGAGCGCCGCCATCTTGGATAGCGCGCGCTGTGACGTCAGGGTGCACAGTAATATTCCGAACGCTATGCCGGAATTGGGCACCCGACCCCCAGACCTGAGACGTATATATGTCTGACTCTCTGATCATACGCAGGAGTAAATCCACATTCTCCTCTTCATTTAAGTTTATATTTCCACAGAGCACTGATATTTTAACATTTTACAGAAGTAAAGGACGATTTTTTTTCTTAACTCTTTCTCTGATATTGTATCGTGATTAGAAATTAACAGAAAAAAAGACCGGCCTGGACCAGGGACGTATAGTGAAGCTCTATATACTGTCCCTGCCTGGACCTAAGATATATTTTGTACCTGCGCCTGTAATGTATTATGTCTTTATACCAGATACGTATATGTAATTTACGTCTCTGTTTATACGGATCACGGAAATTTGTGATCTGTTTGATAGATAGAATTGTACAAACGATGTTTTAAGAAAAAATGAAGAGGGGCCTTGAAATCAGTTAAATAGCCGTAATCATAGCAGTCAGTGCATGATGTCGAGTTAGTAAAAACACAAAGAGAAAATATTGATTGTAATGATGGTGTTATATACATTTAACATTGAAGCGGAATGATACACTGAATGTTCATGACTAATTGATGAAAACTATTAAAATCAAATTGGAATGTTGATTAAACCTGCATACATAAAATATATCATAATATAGCAAGACATGCTTTAATGGTTATATGATCAACATAAAAGAGATTTTTTTTTACACTTATTGAAAAGGGCAAGGTATATATGCTTGTCTGAAGATTGATAAGTTTGTTAAATTAATAAATTGTGTTGATTTTCATCTTGTGCATAGTCAACTGCTAGTTATGAGTCCTCTGGGACTCGAACCCAGCATCCAAAATACAAAACTCTGTTCATGCAAAACGAATGAAAATCAACAGAACATACAACGAAGTACAAGTTAAAATGGTATTTTTTTATAATTTGGTTTATATTGATTACATTCTTATTCAATTATGAAACTATATATGTAGCATATAGTAGTGTCAGGTATAGCATGTATATATATATACACCGTTGGCACGTTAACTAGGTTGTGCCCAAACAGCAGAATTGGTATTGTATGATGTTCTCAAGTTTCTTTAGCTACTATTACTGGTAATAAGTGTATCTGTATTTTACAAAAAGCAATTAAAAAGATTTTGTTATGATAGACAAACTTCTGACTTATATGTATATTTAAATTAAATGCTTTAGTTTATCTTCACATTTCAAATTACTTTCATTTATTTATTTTAAAATAGGGGGCGTTATATACTTACCAATATATAACCAATGATATGAATGAATCATGAATTATTTATCTATTTTGAAAAATTATTTAGGCATTATTTTGATAACATTTGAGATTTTTTGAGATTTAAAATTTAACCAGAAGAAAATATATTGTGATTCAGTTGATACTGCCTGCAATCGTTTTACTGATACGTTCCTAAAATTTGCAAATATATGTATTTCATCAAAAGATGTAGCTATGAGACCTAATGATAAACCTTTTTGCTTGGATGACCACGGAAGAAAAACAATAAAAATTAGAGATAAGTTGCATAAAATTGCGAGGTCAACCAAACATCTTTCGGACATCAACAAATTCAAATCTCAACGAAATAATGTCAATTACATGAAAAAATATGCCCGTAAATTATTTTATGGAAATGTTCACGGTATTATTGAAGAGTACTCGTCCTCTGATCCAAAAGCTTATTGGAGACTCATCAAAAGGTTAATGCAATCGTCTGGTTCTACACAATCTATACCTACTCTTATAGATCCTGTTTCCGACAATGTGGTTACTAGTGGCGAAGACAAAGCTAATTTATTAAATGACTATTTTTGTAATATAACTCGTGTAGATGTAAGAAATGCTGCGGTTCCTCTCATCGAGCCAAAAACTTTCAAAGAGTCTTAGATACCTTAGAGTCAATAATTATGAAATACGAGATATTTTACAGATATTGAAGCTTGGTAAGGCCTCGGGTGAGGATGGAATCAGTCACCTTATGCTAAGAAACACATCAGAAACAGATTGTGGTCCCCTTGATACATTTTTAATAAGTCTTTATCGTCTGGTGTTTACCCAATCTCTTGGAAATTTAAACCATTAGATTCAATTATAATAAAAATGAGTATTAGTAGTTGTTTCCCCTAATTTGATTATTAATTTGCTAATACCAACTTGTTTTTATGTGGTTGTATGTGTTCTAATGTCTATGTCTATGCTTGTACCACTGTCTGTTACTATGTTTGGAAAGGGCTTAAATAGGCTATGTCTGCTGCCCAATCCATTTGTCCTTTGACAATAAAAATTATTGAAATCAAATCTCTTGGAAAACAGCCAAAGTTATGCCACTGTTTAAAAAAGGTGACAGGCATTATCCCTCTAAGTACAGGCCAATTTCTTTATTATCTACAGTTGGAAAAGTGTTTGGGAGGGTAATTTTCAAATACTTGCATAATTATTCTATTGAAAACTCACTTTTTTATAAGCACCAGTCTGGTTTTTTGCCTGGTCATTCTATTGTATATCAGCTCTTTGAAATATATCATAACAACTGTATTGCTCTAGAAGAAATAAAACATGTTTGTATTTTATTCTGTGATATTTCTAAGGTTTTTGATAGGGTATGGTATAAGGGTTTGATGCTTAAGTTAAAATCATATGGAATTTCAGGGGAATTGTATTATTGGTTAGAAAATTACCTATTTCAGAGGCACCAGAGAGTCTTTTTGAATGCTTCTTACTCCGACTTAGGTTTCATTGAAGCAGGTGTTCCTCAGGGTTCGATTATTGGACCTCTTTTGTTTCTTATCTATATTAATGATATTGCTGATGTGTTTGAAAAAACCCGTCGTCTTTTTGCAGACGATACTTCTTTGTTAAAATCATCCTCTTCATGTCTAGAAATCCAAACGGTTATGAATAGAGATCTCGAGTCTGTTAATGCATGGTCCCAAACTTGGTTATTAAAATTCAATCCAGAATAAACTGAGGTAATTTTTGTTTCAAACCTGGTTGAAATTGATGAAGATTTACAATTAGAATTTAATGGCGAATTTTTGAATTTTACTGATCATCATAAACATTTAGGTGTAATTTTTAATTCAAGTGCAAAATGGGGGGGGGGGGATCATATTTGTGCAATATATACTTCAGTTATGGAAAAAGTCACCGTTTTACGTAGACTAAAATACCTATTAAATCGTGATAATCTTTTTTAAAGATTTATATATCATTTATTTTACCAGTTTTAGAATATGCTTGTGAATTGTAGGATGGTTGTACAACTTATGAAACGGAAATGTTAGAGAAAGCCAAAAGAGAAGCTTCTCGTATTATAACTGGTCATCCTTCATATGCCCGAATTGAAGACTTACTTTTTGAAACTGGTCTAGAAACTCTTTCGAATAGAAGAAAACGCAGAAAACTCCAACTTTTGTATAAAATGCACAACCAATTAACTCCAGACTATTTACATTCTCTATTGCCATCTTCCGTTGCAGAAAATAACCGTTACACCCTTAAAAACAATGATGATTATAGAATTCGTCCTTTCAGGCTTTCTCTAACAAATTCATCTTTTATACCTTCAACTCTTCGCGGTTGGAGTTCATTGGACCTTTCAGTACGACCATTGACCTCATTACATTCTTCTAAAAACTCGTTAACTTCAAATGTACAATCTCCTCCACCAATCTACTTAGGTTTCGGTGAATTTAAATTGAACATTTTGCACACAAAACTTAGACATCAGTGTAGTCCACTTAAATATGATCTCTTTAGAGTAAATCTGGTTGATAGTCCAGTTTGTTATTGTGGCCATCCCTGTGAAAATGCCTTTTACTTTTTTTTTGTGAGTGCTTACATTTCTAACAACGAAAGACATACCCTGCTCCAAAATTTGAATGCCTTGCATGTTGATTTTAATTTAGAACTACCTTTGTTTGATAATAGTCAACTTTCGGTAGAAAACAACATAAGTATCTTTGGACATGTGCATCATTACATCAAATCCAGGAATAGGTTTTGATAGTTATAATTACTTTTCTATTTTTATTTATGTGTAAGTTGTTATATGTGTTTATGAAATTTTATTTCATTATTTTGCCTGATTTATTTGTTACATTGATTCTGTTCATTTTGAAATAACTCTACCAGGATGCATGTCATGCAATTTGTATAATTTATAATTTATTCAAATGCGGATCGATTTCTCAGTTTACACGTTTACTTTTCTAGGTAGCTCCCCTCTCCTCCATCACCCCACCCCCTCCCATCCCACCTTTCCTTGTCCACCCTATCTTTTTCCCTTTCCCAAAAAACATATACACTATTGTTACCATATGTATTGAGGAGAGGACTTGTAATAACTTGTTGTCCAATCCATTTGTATATTTGTACAATAAAATATACATGTATCTTCTATATGTGTTTTAATCTTTTTACACGTGTCTGCAAAAATAAGTAATGTTGCCCTCGAATAATTCTATTTTATTTTTATATTTAAAATCTTGCGTTTGTGTATGAATATGTTTGAAACACACTAAACATTATTATTTCGTTGTATTTTTTCGTTCTTTTTGCAATGAAAAAATCACTAATGTAAATATATCGGAACATGGCCTGAATTCTGATACAACAGAACCCAGAGAAGTACCGATATCACATTACTTAACTATTCAATTAAAGCCTTTTTCTTATCAAGAATAAATATTTCTTTCCAAAATATTGAGAATTTTCTCCTCTAATAGTTCTGATATAAAAAACTTTTACGATGTCATAAATTATAGTTTCATCATTGTTTGATTAAATGTGTTCCATCGTCAAACATACCGTTACAAATATAATCTGTATAATTCAAGTCCCATGTTCTACTGATCCTGAAACTATTTAGCCATGACATATAAAAGTAGAACAACAAGACATTGATTGTTTAATGTTTATATTTATTTTTCTCATAAAATATTACGTAACAGGAAATAACAACAACCGATTAAACCAACACAATTATTTACATTTTTTACAACAAAGTTTGTCCCCAGACAAAAGTTAAATACATTTTGTAGATCACTTGAAAATAGAGGATTTCATTCACTGTCATTTCCCTTAATATATCACTTCATCCAGGTATTCCAATGCAGGGAGAAACGTGAACCTATAACAACAAAAGGCAAATGATTAATATCATATTATCAAAAGCGACAATATCATTCGCTGCGAGACTATTAAAATCTCTCCTCCAAATAACATGGTAAAAGGTACTAGACATGCAAACGCCGCGGCCATTATTCAGGGTTCAAATCGGAAAATATAGTATGTTCCAGAATTGGGTGATATGGATAACAGATATACAGGTTATGATTTATTAAGCTACTGAAATAATTAAAAATACCTTGGTTCTCTTGGTCGCTTTCCTTCCTGTTTTCCTGGTCTATTCTGTCCCGGTACTCGTGGCGTAAAAGCTTCGTTTTTCTGTTTCTGTATTTTCAGTAGCCTATCAATGGGCAACATTTGGATTTGGATTAGTAAAGGCAGGAATCGTCATTTCTACAATGTTTTAACCTTGTTTACAATACTTCGAGACAGTCGTTTTCAGTTTTATATAAGAGGTTTCAAAAGACATCTCGATTAGTTGTAACTATTTATCGTACTGTATTCTTTATTGGGATTATGGGATTTCTGTCTGAGGAGAGTGGACGACCACTATGTTGCAATTTGTCCTACGCCTGTTGAGTCAATCATTTAGACAAAACAATACTGATACGTGAGTCAATACTTACACCTGACAGACATCCATCACGGAATCCACAAAGACGAAGGGTCCCAATGACCGGGTAGGTAGAGACTCACACGTGACTGGCTCACCGTTCTCTTCCATGACTACAGGTCTGAAGCTTACAGCTGGCCTTCTAATCACCCTGTGTAAGGAAAGTTCACATAGAAATAAAGGTCAGGCTTCAGTAAATGTGACTGAAGGACTTAGTGGAACAAACCTCATGGACATGTGCGAATAGAAAAAGAAATGCTTTGTTTTTTTATCTGGCGAGAATTGATCACATTCAATACTTGACTACTTAATTAATTTGAAATATGATAAAAATAAGGTGTATAAGGTGCATATGGTGTATCTAAAGAAAACTTATGAAGTTCGCTCCTTCACTGTTGTTCGTCAACAGAAACGTTTCTGTGAAGCTGAACTACCTCTTGTAGATTTTTTTTTATTCATTTAGATAGGAAGTCTACTGTTGTAATCATCTCCCCAGTGCAATGTCAACTCACCTGTTCCGACGTCTCAATAGCGAAACCAATTTTAACGGAGGCAGTGATATTTTGTCTACGGTCACAACCCTGGAAAGAATGATAAATGATATTCTCAAAATGATGTCTTAATTACATGGATTAATAATAATTTATAAATTAATCATCATCACACGTTATAGACCTGTCAGTATTTATAATCATTAGAATGATAATTCCATGTGGTAAATGGTAAATGTGATTCTTATCAAATTAAAGGAAAATAGTGTAATACATTTGGACTAATAAATCATTTTGATTCTCACCTGAACAATACATTTCATTCAAATCAATAACAGTGACCTTGAGTATTTATAAAAAACATTTGACATTTTAGACATTAAGATAAATACATCTGTACTTACATTTCACAGCGACCCTCCACGTATGACACATACAGTGTGTCGTTCTCCAGACGGCTAGTAAACCGTGGACAGGTGGCGTTATTAAGGACGTCAGTTATAACATCAGTGACGCTAGGTGGCGTTGATACGGTAATACCGGAAGTTATAGTGGCGCCATCTGTAACCTGTGTTTGAGATCCAGTCGTTACTGAGGGAGACGAGATAGTGGCGCCATCTGTAGCCTGTGTTTGAGATCCAGTCGTTACTGGGGGTGACGAGGTAGTGGCACCATCTGTAGCATGTGTTTGAGATCCAGTCGTTACTGGGTGGGACGAGGTAGTGGCGCCATCTGTAACTTCTGTTTGAGATCCAGTCGTTACTGGGGGAAACGAGGTAGTGGCGCCATTTGACAGTTGAATGCCTAATATAAAACAAATAAATCTACGTCAGATTATGAAAGAATAGAATATAGTTAAATTAAGCGGTTTCTTTTAGATTTTGTAAATGTTGTATCATGTCAAACCATGACTTGTATGCATCTAATGTGTAATAGGTAGTGTGCAATACAAATGTTTCTAGAACTGATCTTGTTATTACTGTTGGTGACAGAGTAGTTGCAGTATTTGTCAGTTCAATATCTTGACTAAAAAAGAAAATATGCATGAAATGCCAAATTGATTTCCACGTTCACATAAACTGATGGTATCAGCTGTGATAACTATTCATATTCAATGAAGAGCACGACGTTCAGCTTTCCATTATTTTCTAAAAAAATCTAAATTCTCAATGAAATTTAGACAATTAACCATTTTATGGAATCATCTTAAAGAACTGATATCGTATAACGATCTTGAGTTCAGGCTGAATATGAACAATGACAGCTTGCATTCCAACAGAAACAAGCCAGTATTGCCACGAAGCCTAACATATTTTATATTTGTACATTTGTTAGACTTCAGATGCACCATTCTCCATTGCTTAAAATTGTATCCGAGATAAGTATGCATTCGAGTCCAAATCAATTATAGCTTATTTCACTATTATTATCTAAGCAATGTTATCATGTAAATAAGGTTTGACGTTATACAACCAGTGAGATGTTTTTCAACAGAGATTCCCTTGACGGTGTTGTCTCGTGTACATGTAAGCGTCAAAGGAAACATCTGCTGTGTTTTCGAATTGAAACATCAGGTTTTTTTAAATGTCGATGCTATTTCTGCTCACTATCATTATTTGATTATTTTGTTTGTACAATTTTAGCACCTTAGAAAATTACAAACAAACGTTTTATGTTATTACGATAATAATTATCGTTTCGATACCGTCATTCTTGTTGCAGACATGAAATACATCAATGATATGTCTACTTACACACAGATCCGATAGCCAGCACACAAGCCCCGATGATATAGAACTTGTCCATTGTAAGTGGTCAGTTGGTGTATGCCCAGTTACTAGCTGTGGTCAGTTTAGAGGTCTACACCACTTCGGACAATCGTTGATCTTATATAGCTTGCTGAACACTCCAAAATCACACAAAATTGACAAAAACAATATTTTTGACGTCAAGTTGTGTTTGCGTGTTTTACTGTGACGTCTGCATGAACTATACATGTGATGACCATAAACAAAAGAGGCCACCAGCAGGGGCCAGACAGACTTTTAATGTTACCGTTTAATTTTTAACTGGAACAATTGATTGTTTCCATAACCCATTGTTATTTATTGTATTGTATAAATATATCAATTTTACATGTCCTTGGCTAAATATTGTATGATATATTTTGTTGAGTGTGTGCAAACTTAATTATTTTCCCCTTTAGGGGCCTTTATGCAAGTATGATAGTCCATTCCTATAACTGTCTCATACCGTGGTCACTTTGTGACGCGAGTAGTATAAGGTCATCACTCATGGTCGACACATTAGTATTGTATCGGTCAACACTGTCTAGTACTCTGTCCGAATCTAAAGGTACCTACGGAACATATATACAAACTATCGGTAATACAAAGGTCTTACATATATATTTATCCTTATCTGTTTTCCGAGGTTCATCCCACGCCGCTGGGAGACGTTAGCTCGTTTACTACCCAACATGCTGCAAAACTCTGTTTACAAAATCATAAAGCAAAGATATGGGTTTTGGCGTAAATAGCTCGACTGAAAATTGGCTGACGAATTAATGAAATATTTTTAATTGTTTTATTATTTCGATTATTTTTTTAAATTATATCTCTTTCAAATTAAGTGTTCTGCTATTCTTTAATTTTTATAAAGGAAATGAAAAACCTTTTTGTAAATGTGCGGCAAATAAACCCTTTTATGGATTTTATCTTGTCCTGATAAGGCATCACAATAAGGGTTGCAACTTTGTTTTTGGACATTTTAGTTAAAACTCCACCGAGCAAACGGAACTTTAAATTCAACAGAATTAAAAATAAAGCGGCGCCTATGATAAGTAATAAGAAGAGTGGTCTTATTTTAATTGATTAGCAATTATCAAAACTTTGTATTGTGGTGATGTGCGATGATATGCTGTAATTGCGAGAGGATTTCAAAAGGCCAAACAGAATTGAAAATGATAAGATTCTGCAGTTTACTCAATGTATACGCCGACTTTATAGTATTAGTAGCTATGCCCTGTGTGACATTAGGTGTTGTATTAGTAGCTATGCCCTGTGTGACATTAGGTGTTGTATTAGTAGCTATGCCCTGTGTGACATTAGGTGTTGTATTAGTAGCTATGCCCTGTGTGACATTAGGTGTTGTATTAGTAGCTATGCCCTGTGTGACATTAGGTGTTGTATTAGTAGCTATGCCCTGTGTGACATTAGGTGTTGTATTAGTAGCTATGCCCTGTGTGACATTAGGTGTTGTATTAGTAGCTATGCCCTGTGTGACATTAGGTGTTGTATTAGTAGCTATGCCCTGTGTGACATTAGGTGTTGTATTAGTAGCTATGCCCTGTGTGACATTAGGTGTTGTATTAGTAGCTATGCCCTGTGTGACATTAGGTGTTGTATTAGTAGCTATTCCCTGTGTGACATTAGGTGAAGCGGGTCAGGTACAGATACCTACTCATGCGGTTTGAGTTACCATACGACACGAGATTTGATATTCAAGAGAATTTATCCAAACGATAATATCGTGTCGCAATTTAGGTCAATTACAAAAACACGCAGAAATTCAAATAAAGCTCAAGGATTTCACCAATGTCCTCGTTCACATGTATATCAAATATCAATCCCCGATGCGTGTCTTTCAATAAAAAAATCTCTTAAAAATGGACACCATTCGAACAGGGACGTGGTAGAGCTGAAGTATACACACAAACTAAGGTTGTTCAGAATTACGGTTGTATTGAAGAGAAAATCGACATTTACTGTTTGAATACGTGTCCTTACATAAAGAATGATAGTCTTTGCGAAACTCCAAAAGCCTGCATAGTATATGTTTGTACATAGAAATATCTACGGATTATCATTAAATATACATTTTATTCGATATGGTTTACACGTAAAAAGGATTCATCTATATGGAATATTATTGTACAAAATGTTAATCAAGCAAAAGGCGGGAGACATAAAGAAGAATGAGCCTTCCATTACGCTGTAGAAGCATCCATTAGGATTGGATATTCCAACACTGTCTACACTTCTACCTTAACAGAAACATTCAAGCATCAAGGTATGCGTCTCTAATAAAATGCTACTCACTAGAAGTGTCATGGTGTTAGTTACGTAACTATCTACGTTAACGCCAGTAAGTAATGCATACTGGCCAATTATAAGAGGGATTAGTGGAGCTTTGATTGACACAGTGTTAATACACACGTGTATTTCATAAACACTACTCTATATTTTTTTGTATGTGTAAAATGATTTTAATATATGATGAATACCTTTACAATAATTAGTTAAATCTAACGTAGACAACCGGGCATAGCCTTTATCATTAAATGAACGACACACATGTAGCCAAATACACAAACCAAAGCAAAAGGTAAATCAACAGCCTAAAATTGGTATCGGGAAAATTTCCATGTTTATTAGATTTTGTTCAAAGAAGCAGCTTTGACGGCCGGTAAAACATTATGTACGGCATTATTTTCATTTTTTTTGTTTATTAAATCCAGACAATCATATGCATGAGGAATTGTCTGAGGTCGGACTAAATAGTCTACGTTCCTTTACATCAACATTCTCTTAATTAAGTATACGTTCAAGACGTATTCAAAATTCATCCAATATTTGATGCACCTCTGCTCTGCAAAAAGGCTTTGAATTGAGCTAAATGTGTCTTTCCAATTTATTTTTTTATTTGTTTAAATAAGCAGTTGATCATTAATGCAAAAATTTGGTTCACAGATATAACTTGCATACATTTCCACATAGAAAAATTAATTTACAATATATTGACTGGAATTAATTGAATGGGGATTGGGGGATAGTTTGGTTAAAAAGTAGAAACTGATTGAGAAAAAAAAGACAAAGATAAGAGAGACATAAGGCAACAAAAAAGGAAGAGAGATTCCCGACGAGAGCAACGATTATTCACGAAAGGGTGATGATTGTAAAGAAACAAAAAAAAACATTTTTTTTACGCAAAAATAAAAAGAGAGAAATGAAACAATGTTAGTTGTACGGCACATAGTTATGGCATTGAGATAAACTAGATTCAAATTAGATAATTTCTTATTTCAGTCTTTGTGACTTTTATGTCGATTTGAAGTGAATCAAACAAAACAATGCAAGGAGTTGATTTCAAAAGCTGTTTTAGCTGCAAGAAAAAATGTCATACTAATACAGTGTGTATCGGAGTTGAAGTGAATCTGGCTGAAATTGCGGAAGGAATGGATTACAAAAGCCTTTCCTAACTAAAAGGTCAAAAATGCAAAAGAAAAGACAATACCAATACTGAGTAACTGATGTGAAGTGAATGCGTTTAAACTGTGGAAGGTATCAATTTTAAATTACCTATAAAATGAACTTTTTGACTGATATCGACGTGACAAAACTCCCACTATAATACACAGGTATCTAACTTATGTACGGACTGTATCATGTTTACCGTCATGGATTGCAGTTAATTTAGGTGTGTAGTTATTGCTGGACGTAAATGTACGTTTGGACGAGTTGACCAGTACAGTGGTCAGTCAGTATACGTTGAAACTAAGGATGATTGATATCCCTCCCACTCCTCGCCTGACAATAATGGTCATCCCGAGACAGTCAAACGGCTCTTCACTGAGGCCAAACGGGGAAACGGTGCTACCAAAAATGTAAAATAGGAGATCTTTCATGAAATGTACACCGAAATGTAATATTCTTAAATTCATGTGTATTCCAACTAAATATAATAAAATGTTATAAACTTTTTTAATCCATTCATATCGACAAATAAATATTTTAAAGTAAATTGTGGCCCCTAATGTAATGGGTTCATGGTCAACATATTCTCGGCTAGTGGTGACGTATTCATCTGTATTTGCATTAAACAGAAAAACAATCTTGACGTCATATTTTGTTTATTTTTTTATATTTACATATTTTTGGAGTGTCCAGTTGCCTATATAAGATCAAACTATTGTCCAAATCGGTACAGATTTTCCTGAACTGACCGTATATTTGGACGTCTAGCAGCAGATCAAATCAAAATGGACAAGTTCTATATTATCGGCCTACTAGTTATCGGATCTGTATGTAAGTAGCCAGGTATTTTTAAGTGATTGATGAAAATTTCGCTAAAACAGGTATTCAAGAATATGTCGACGTGTTAGAGAAGGCCATACCACGGAGACCTGTCTTGTTTTATAGACATACCACGTATGTACGGGGACATGTAAATAGTTAGAGGCAGGTGTAGTAAGGTAAAAGGTCTTTATGTAAAATACCACCCGCTCCTTCCATCTTGGCAAGGGAGAATTTCATTTGGTAAAGTGTCAGACTATTAGACCTGAGGTACCAGGTTCGATCCCAAGCGTAGACATACGTATAACCTCTGTAGCCAATATGTTAAAGGTCGACCTGTTAAGATACCATTCATACTCACTGTACGTAGGGTATATAAGGTTTGTTATAACCTTTCTATCTTTAACGGATGACGCACAACATAAGTAGATAAACAATAACGAATCTGAAACATCACTGCCGCTGTTTATTTAATCGCATTTGAGTTTAGGGTCAGTAAGAACGTTCAAACATTCAAGTCGGGGCACAGTAGATCAAAGCGTTAAAGAAGATGTTTTAAAATGCAATGTTCTGATAAATATTTGTATAATTCAATATATTTACTATTTTTTTTCTCTAAGTGATATTTTTAATCCCTCTACAGTCATTTAACTTTTGAAATTTCAATACTATTTTACATTTCATACAAAATGGAAGTTTCGCGTTAAGGATCAAACACCACTGGATATAACTGCTTTCGCGTTGGAAACTGTTTTTTCTGGCATCATAATAGATTTGATAGTTCGTTTCTGAAAAGTAACTTATCGTCTTGTGTTCCTCCGGTTAATTTGACTTGGTGATTTCGAATAGAAACTACAAACTGAATTCAAAATCATATAACAGTTATTTAAGTTGAGAAAAGTTGATAGTTGATACATAATCAAATTTTTACTCCAGGTATCCAGTTGTCTAAAGCCGCCACCGTGATATCTCCGTCCGTCACGACCAGATCCCCGGCTAGAAATGAAGCTAGTACAACCTCTGGGTCAACACCAGTTGGTGCTGATGATGTTGTAACGGAGGTCCTTAACAACGTCACTTCCTGTCCACGGTTTGATAACCGACAGGAGAACCAGACTCTATATGTTCCATATGTAGATGGTCGCTGTGAAATGTACGTATCAATATTTATTGTGAACAGAAGCTTTAAATAATAATAAAAATATATATACTGGTGTTATAAATCAAATGTCGCTACTACAAAATGTAACGGCATTTCAATCATTGTCTCTCCGAAGTTTGATCAATAGAACCATTATGCCAATATTACAAAATGACGACATTCTAAAACTTCATTAAGCTTTTCTATAACACTGTTTATATTGTAAAAAGCTTTATTACAAAAACAATCTCGACTCGTCACAGTATTCCATGTTTGTGAAATTTCGAATTGGATTGATGCTGTAGTTTATATTTCAATGAATGCCAAGATGCTCGCACGCGCATATGATCAGTGAATCCTTCGACAGGTTCAGCGTCTACTGCATCACTGAATAAATACACAAATAAAAACAATATTGGAGATTTTTATTTTTGTTTGCAGGGTAGTTACCGTAGCAACTGTAACGCTGCCTCCGTTAAAGATCATTAAGATGTTCAAGCGAGGAAAAAAGTGAGTACATGTACTTGGAAATATAATTAACATATGTGTATGCTTTCTCAACTACGCTTGTATGAATTGTATTTATTAAACGTTAAGCGGTGAATTGTTCATTATAATTTTGTGCTGTAGGTGTGCATCATTAAGCTAATTGATGACAATCTATACAGCTATTTCATGACGTCATATATATATTTACCCAGCGTGATAAGGAGGCCAGTAGTGAGCTTCAGGACTGTGATGGCGGAAGAGAACGGTCAGCCAATCACGTGTGAGTCTTTACCTACCCGGTCACTTGGACCCTTCGTCTTCGTGGATACGGTGGTCAATGAATGTCAAATGTAAGTACACAGGAACATGTTTTATACTGTATACACTGAGACCAGTAAACAGGGATGGTACTCTATAATATGTATTTTACGATCATTTAAATTTGGGAGTTACGCGGACGGGTAAGGTCAATTTATGACTTCAATACCACAACCATTATCTATATTACATAACATTAAAATCTCGACTTCATCTCCGCAAAAATAACACTAGCCGGTGGTTATATAATTATCGCTAGAAATGTAGCAATACCCCGAGGTGAGCTTACATTCAATTAACTTTACCAAGTACGGTGCACGAATATCCTGATTTGTATTTATCGGTATACATTTGTATTTATCAGTATACATTTGTATTTATCAGTATACATTTGTATTTTAGATTCTATATAGCAGGTCGTACATATAGCTAAACAATAAAGACTTACATTTATTTGATTTAACCAAAAAACAAAGACAATACAACTTCATTGTATCATAAACTAGTTTAAGTGCATAGTATTTCAGTATTACATTTTTTATCATTGTGTCTTTTATAGGCTACTGAAAATACAGAAACAGAAAAACGAAGCTTTTCCTCCACGTTCGCCGGGACAGAAGAAAGGCAAGAAACAGGGCAAACGACCAGGCAAACGACCAGGCAAACGCCCCAAAAACCCGAGGTACGTTACGCCATCTCTGATATATGACTTCTAAGGCATGTGTAGTCTAAAATTATGACGTCACAGGATACATATAGTAGTGTTAAAAAATGGCGTCATAGAAGCTTAGACATACACAGTGTAAGATATGACGTCATAGCAGCGTCATAGTTAAAATAAACGACGTTACGCGAGCTGCATTACTGCTCTAACATACGTACATACCAGAGGGGAAAGCTAGATTGGGGCTGCCCAATAAAACGTCACTTGATATTTATCCTCATTTCCTCTATCATTTGGCCTATTTAAAACCAGGAGGTAAGGTAATATCATCAAGACTCTATTAAGATGCACATTCATAACTTCTCTCAATTAAGGATAAATTTGAGAGTAAAATCCGGGTATTTTAACCGTGAATAGACTTATCGCCGCTTATTTCTCGGTTATATGTGTTTTAATTATTTGGTTTACTTTCATTACAGACACACGTTTGTCCCCGCCTACGAATACCTGGATGAAGTTGTGTATTAACTTAGTCAACATGAAACATAGAAGAAATCCTCTATTACTGTATAACTGTATGACCTCCTGATGTAACCGACTTTTGTCTGAAGACTAACATGGTTGTGTATAGTACAAGTGTAAATGTGTGTTTGTGTGACAGTCAGACTCAGTTGGTTGAGCTTCAGTAGTTCAATCATACAATAAACGAGTCAAAATCCATTTTATATTTATTTTAAATGTGTAGAGATAGGAATATTAATAATAAAAATCGTCAAGTGAGAACGAATGTGTCGTTACTCACTGACGCCCGATGTAGCTGGACCAGATGACTTTTGTAATTAAATGTTTGTGTATATTATTACTGTTGTGAGAACAATTAAATAGAAATACCAAATACGTTTTTGTTTTTAAGTTTTTTGGTAAATCACTTACAATTACACTAATGTAAACAACAACATACCTGTACCAATAGAGTTTAATGTTTTATTTTACTATGTGAAAGTATAAATTATCGCTTGTGGAGTTTCCGTGTTTTTACTTAGGAAAATAACGGCGTTGTGTAAATGTTTAGGTTGACGTAACCGTAACACTTGTCTCCGTGCTAACTTTTAAGTGCGTAAAAATAACGAAACTGTCAACAAATATCATGAGATCTATTTGTATTATAGATTATTCTACCATACCGGGTTCGGCATACAAAAAGCTTTTGCATACACGCTTTTATTTTTTGCAAATTCAGAAATTGATTTAAGGGAATGAAATATCAATGTGCGTAGTGCAGAAGATGTTAATTGTGGTGCAGTGATAGCGTCAGATAAATTGTAACAAGAAGTTCGGCTGATTCCGTGATAAAAAGTACATCAGTGTATGGGGTAATCCATTTGTCTGAAACAGATACAGTACTATTGTTGTTGTTGGTGGTGGTGCTTTTTCTGTCCGATATCTCTATTATTAATTTTGAATGTATGGGCCAGTCTTTGCTGATCCCGAAATTGGAGTTGAGGCAGGTAGAGTGTTAGACGAAACGGATGTAAGGGGTCCCAAAAGATAAGTCGTTCTTCTCTTCGATACGAAGATTATTTTTTTTTAAATATCCACAAGAATTGTACAATTTTCCTACGAAAAGTTGGGCCGATTTCCGACATCGAAAGCTTTCCACGCTTTAACGATACCTTCAATGGGGAATGCGTTATCTTGAGTGTTGATCTATTAGGATAGATTACATCATACCTACTGTTACAAATTCTCGACGTGTATATCCTGTTTAGACCAACACGCTAAATAACGCATCACCTCTTGGAGACTATTTAGATATTTATTGTATCATTGCAGATTGCTGGACATGTGTTATTTCTCATCTGATTTTATTCAGTTTAATTTCATTCTTAACTGAACAATGACTCTTACATGTGTATCAAGTTAGAAATCGAAAAAATACAATATTATCTTAAAGTCGTCCACTGTCGTTTCGTCCACAGAACTTGGTACTTAAGACAGCTTAGGAAGTATTCGTGAAGTTGGAGTTATGCCCACCGTTAGTTACATAGGACGTTCCCACTATTTGCATTTATTCACTTTGTTTTGAAGGCCAGCATAGTATAGCTACTTTAGTTGTATGTTTCGTACAGATATTTCCCCGTTTTATAACATATTACCATCAAAAAAGTCAAAATAACTGTAACAAAATTTATGGCTTGTACAATACCATTGACAATATTGTGATCACTATAGTATTTGTCTTTGCATCAATTCTTTAATGAATACTTAACGAATTTAACACACCTCTCTGTACAAAACTTGAAACAAGTTAATTTGACAGAATTGAGATATAATTCATTGAACTGTATACTATTGCACTTTTATCGCATTTGAATCATTCCGTAACTGTTGAAATTCTTCTTTTTTGATATTCTTTAATTCTTCGTGTATATAAAACAAACAAGGATCACAATACCAAACAAAAACGTGTACTCCCAATATCATGTTTCCCTATAAAACTTCACACGCATGATGAACAATTTTATTGATACTAGTTTTTGCATTTCACTTATAAACCTTTTCGCAAAAGGACAAAATTTTATTTTGATAATTTACAATGAGTTGTTAGATGTATTATTTCGTTCACTTCCTCGTTTATGTTTTATATTTGGGTTCTATGGTGAAATAGATTTATAAGTACAGTGCAAGTACTAGTACTAATATAATTAATATAGTAATAGTTAGACATTAATAATCTAGGCTACCAAAAAGGTTAAGTAACTAAGAATGCACCACTAAAAAATAACAAAATAACAAAATAACAATTGTTTTCCATGTTAACATCTATTTAAATGATAATTATGATAATTAGAGGTTTTATAACATACCGCTTTATCACAACCTAGTTGTTAGGTAGTCTCAAATCGGTAGAAATGAATTTGCAAAGCGAAAACACGTGACAATTACAAAATATTAGATAAAGGCACTTTACATGTTTACCTAGTGTATACAGCAGGCGTGTTAAGTTTCCGACCCTTACGCCATACAAACATTTGTTTCAGAAGCTCTGAGTGAGTATAATCATTACCTCGGATCTAAAGAATCATGAAAATGTCAAAATTTAATATCGCATCCAACCAACTGTAATTTTTTCTCGATACACCTGAAATGGAAACATACATAAAAAAAACCATCGCCCGACTGACTATACAGAATAAAGGTCAACACGACAGGTCATTTAGGTCTGGCTAACCTAACAGGTGCTACAATTACATTTTTTACGAAACTATTCCGGAGCAGACATGTACATATGAACATACTTTTCATCACGATTAACGACTCGTTGCTGACATTGTAAGTGACTTGGGTATGTTATGTGTATTGGCCGTAAGTTTACAAAAGAAACGTGTTTCACTGAAATGTAGTAGTTCTGTGTCTCGTTTTATACGGCCTTTTTGTGTCTCGGTTGACAAACTCTGACATTCGATTTAATAAAAACGTATTTGTGCCTGCTGTTTAGCCCCGTCACTAATCATTAGTTTGTCCATACATCACTGCGTGTCTTAAGGCAACCCATCGTCACGTGAATTGTATATAGTTTATGTTGTTATATGTAAGCCTGGGGCGCCCTTGGGGTAATTTACCTTTATTGTTTTCGCATAAACATGTTTTACTGTCAAAAATACAGCACAAGTGAAAGGTACATGATAAATGCCATTCTCCAATGACGTAGACAAGAGATATAAGATCTCTGATTGATTTTGTTTTCACGCAATACAACCACTTTTTGTTGACTTTTGTTTATGAATCAATATGTATGAGATTGTAAGATTAAGGTTGTATAGGTTTACCAAAATGTGCCGAAATTGAAACCAACTGATACAAATGTTCAACAAGGATAAAGGACACATTTCTTTATAAATTATCAACTCCTTATATGATCTAAAGAGTAAAGGCACGCATTGGTAGAATATAGCTCGTCATAATAGCAAACTTTAATCTATAAAGTAGTATAAATTGCATACTTTATAGAGAATACATGTCAAATTAAGGCTAATATGAATTTATAAGGATGTAAAAAAGGGCAAGGGATTTAACCAAAACATCCCAACATTTAATGACGTCGCCGTATTCTCACTCGGAAATCGAACGACTCTTCCTGCCGCAATACACAAACACTAAACTTATAACAGCATGGCGATCCGTCACTACACTTATAATAGCATGGCGATCCGTCACTACATTTATAATAGCATGGCGATCCGTCACTACACTTATAATAGCATGGCGAGTCGTCACTACACTTATAATAGCATGGCGAGCCGTCACTAAACTTATAATAGCATGGCGATCCGTCACTTCACTTATAATAGCATGGCGAGCCGTCACTACACTTATAATAGCATGGCGATCCGTCACTACACTTATAATAGCATGGCGAGCCGTCACTACACTTATAATAGCATGGCGAGCCGTCACTACACTTATAATAGCATGGCGATCCGTCACTACACTTATAATAGCATGGCGATCCGTCACTACACTTATAATAGCATGGCGATCCGTCACTACACTTATAATAGCATGGCGGGCCGTCACTACACTTATGATAGCATGGCGATCCGTCACTACACTTATAACAACAGGGCGAGCCGTCACTACACTTATAATAGCATGCCGATCCGTCACTACCCTTATAATAGCATGGCGATCCGTCACTACACTTATAATAGCATGGCGATCCGTCACTACACTTATAACAACATGGCGAGCCGTCACTACACTTATAATAGCATGGCGATCCGTCACTACACTTATAATAGCATGGCGAGCCGTCACTACACTTATAATAGCATGGCGAGCCGTCACTACACTTATGATAGCATGGCGAGCCGTCACATTGTGTTCAGGGTCCTACTTGACCACTGCCAGTGATCGCCGACAAGGTATGTCATACCGCGATTAGAAACAGCTCATGGTTGGTTTGTTTTGTTTTGGGTCTACGTCCTTGGTTATAAGAAGACTGGTGTCTGGGTCCACTGAACAGAAGAGTAGGGAAGACAGAAAAGGGAAGATGGAGACCCACGTTACAATGGAGGCAGCAGATCAATGTTTTTCTAAACTGTTCCTACTAAGGAGAAGCCATAGAGGAAACCCCCGATTATACACAGACTGTTAGATATCTAGACAATACCACACACAGTGTTCATCTGACGTCTCGGATCGTACGAGTTCATGTCATGCATGGACGAAATACAATGGGTTTTTTCACTGGGGCTTTAGCCTGATTGAAATGTATCCGTTTGTGCATTGAACGAGTGCGATCTCCTCAGATGTCAACTGAACACATATGTGTGGAACTAGCTTTTATTACATATACTTGTACATATAGTCATTCATTATATGAATGTTGTATTTTCAACAAAACCTTGTTCATCATTATTGCGTATTGACGTTCAGTTCACTTTCCGCACACGGGAAGTAAACAACAAAATAACGTCGACGACGGAATCATTACAACGTAAAACGGCGCTAAAATGTTTGGAACTTTTTTCAGTTTCGATTCGATGATTTGACCAATTGATAACAACCAACGAGCTCTAGTCTAAATAGGAGTTCTGACTACTTAAGTAACACAAGATTTTGTAAATACAGGACCTTGTATTGCATGCCGAAAAATGACTGTATCACTGCATTTAAAAAACCCAAATATATAATAAAATTTCGGATAGTTTTTGACAGGGAGAGGGAGAACCGAGACATCATTATATCTTACAAATATATAGACTTTTCAAATATATTATCCCATACTGAGCCCCACTTAAATTTTAAACCTACATTTATCATTCGTCCGTGTCTGGATGTACACAGGTATTGTGAATTGAAATAATCTGACCCTCTCCAGTAGATCCTACACTGCCCAGTGTCCAGACGGTACACGGTGATGGTCAAGCTGATCATAGAGACATCACAGCGATGACTGGCAATGTTATCACACTTGGTGTGTGGATAATAGTCGTGTACACATGTAAGTACAAATATCGTATTTAAAAGAGAAAGGTTGTTTATTGTGGTTGTGGGGGTCCTATTGACAGCTACTGTAGTAGGTGGCCTTGTTTATTTGCTGTAGTCAGAATAGCCGTGACAATGCTAATTTGTCACATTCAGCAGTTAATATTCAAGTTTACACCAATAATATCATAACTGCTCTGCCAAAACAAAGACGTGGAAATTCACCAACTATAATATGCTTGCCAAGAAGTTAGAGTTATCGCCCTTTTAAAACTATTAATTATAATAATATGTAGATAAATATCTAAGTGTCTTCAATACATGCAGACAAATTAATCAAACACTCACTGCTAAATTATCTTTCAAAAAGATATTTACCGTTTTAATGTGGGTCACTCTTTTGCGTAGGAGATACATTTAACCGATATGTTAGTATATATTATGAAATGACTTGTTCAAATAAAAGCCTGTATAACGTCCCAGTCTACATGTATCACGTCTCCGTATACGCTCAGCTATTTATAGCTAGTCTTCCATGATAACACGTTTACAATGTTATTCGTTGTGACACAGTTTTAACAATGACATCAGTGGGCCCTGACTATCCTAGGAAGGTTGTTTATTACGTGTGTCAACACCGTGTACACAACACATGTACTGGCCTTGTCAGATAATCTATGGGGATCTCAATATGTATGACCTTTGATTTGGCATTTCCTCTGTCTCTTGATGTCTTCGAGTTCGAATCTTTACTGTCGTGTGTCTCTATCAAGTCACCTAACTTATGATATGGTGTACATCTTAAATACATTATACATTATAATAAAAGAAACACAGCTAAAATATAGCAAGAAATGGATATTTAGCTAAGGACATATATGGATATGGAGACAGTTGGTATTGCAACACTTGTAGACTAGGTTTATACTGATATCCCAATAATATAGACTGATGTCCCAATAGCATAGACTGATAGTCCAATAGGATAGACTGATAGTCCAATAGTATAGACTGAAAATCCAATAGTATATACTGATGTCCCAATAGTATAGACTGATACCCCAATAGTATAGACTGGTAACCCAATAGTATAGACTGGTAACCCAATAGTATAGACTGGTAACCCAATAGTATAGACTGATAGTACAATAGTATAGACTGATAGTCCAATAGTATAGACTGAAAATCCAATAGTATATACTGATGTCCCAATAGTATAGACTGATACCCCAATAGTATAGACTGGTAACCCAATAGTATAGACTGGTAACCCAATAGTATAGACTGGTAACCCAATAGTATAGACTGATAGTACAATAGTATAGACTGATAGTCCAATAGTATAGACTGAAAATCCAATAGTATATACTGATGTCCCAATAGTATAGACTGATACCCCAATAGTATAGACTGGTAACCCAATAGTATAGACTGATAGTACAATAGTATAGACTGGTAACCCAATAGTATAGACTGGTAACCCAATAGTATAGACTGATAGTCTAATAGTATAGACTGATAACCCAATAGTATAGACTGATATCCCAATAGTATAGACTGATAGAACAATAGTATAGACTGGTAACCCAATAGTATAGACTGGTAACCCAATAGTATAGACTGATAGTCTAATAGTATAGACTGATAACCCAATAGTATAGACTGATAGTCCAATAGTATAGACTGGTAACCCAATACTATAGACTGATAACCCAATAGTATAGACTGATAACCCAATAGTATAGACTGATAGTACAATAGTATAGACTGGTAACCCAATAGTATAGACTGGTAACCCAATAGTATAGACTGATAGTCCAATAGTATAGACTGATAACCCAATAGTATAGACTGATAGTCCAATAGTATAGACTGGTAACCCAATACTATAGACTGATAACCCAATAGTATAGACTGATAACCCAATAGTATAGACTGATAGTACAATAGTATAGACTGGTAACCCAATAGTATAGACTGGTAACCCAATAGTATAGACTGATAGTCCAATAGTATAGACTGATAACCCAATAGTATAGACTGATAGTCCAATAGTATAGACTGATAGTCCAATAGTATATACTGATAACCCAATAGTATAGACTGATAACCCAATAGTATAGACTGATAGTCCAATAGTATAGACTGATAGTCCAATAGTATATACTGATAGTCCAATAGTATAGACTGATAGTACAATAGTATAGACAGATAGTCCAATAGTATAGACTGATATCCCAATAGTATAAACTGGTAACCCAATAGTATAGACTGATATCCCAATAGTATATACTGATAGTACAATAGTATAGACTGATAGTCCAATAGTATAGACTGATAGTCCAATAGTATAGACTGATAGTCCAATAGTATAGACTGATAGTCCAATAGTATAGACTGATAGTCCAATAGTATAGACTGATAGTCCAATAGTATAGACTGATAGTCCAATAGTATAGACTGATAGTCCAATAGTATAGACTGATAGTCCAATAGTATAGACTGATAGTCCAATAGTATAGACTGATAGTCCAATAGTATAGACTGATAGTCCAATAGTATAGACTGATAGTCCAATAGTATAGACTGATAGTCCAATAGTATAGACTGATAGTCCAATAGTATAGACTGATAGTCCAATAGTATAGACTGATAGTCCAATAGTATAGACTGATAGTCCAATAGTATAGACTGATAGTCCAATAGTATAGACTGATAGTCCAATAGTATAGACTGATAGTCCAATAGTATAGACTGATAGTCCAATAGTATAGACTGATAGTCCAATAGTATAGACTGATAGTCCAATAGTATAGACTGATAGTCCAATAGTATAGACTGATAGTCCAATAGTATAGACTGATAGTCCAATAGTATAGACTGATAGTCCAATAGTATAGACTGATAGTCCAATAGTATAGACTGATAGTCCAATAGTATAGACTGATAGTCCAATAGTATAGACTGATAGTCCAATAGTATAGACTGATAGTCCAATAGTATAGACTGATAGTCCAATAGTATAGACTGATAGTCCAATAGTATAGACTGATAGTCCAATAGTATAGACTGATAGTCCAATAGTATAGACTGATAGTCCAATAGTATAGACTGATAGTCCAATAGTATAGACTGATAGTCCAATAGTATAGACTGATAGTCCAATAGTATAGACTGATAGTCCAATAGTATAGACTGATAGTCCAATAGTATAGACTGATAGTCCAATAGTATAGACTGATAGTCCAATAGTATAGACTGATAGTCCAATAGTATAGACTGATAGTCCAATAGTATAGACTGATAGTCCAATAGTATAGACTGATAGTCCAATAGTATAGACTGATAGTCCAATAGTATAGACTGATAGTCCAATAGTATAGACTGATAGTACAATAGTATAGACAGATAGTCCAATAGTACAGACTGATAGTACAATAGTATAGACAGATAGTCCAATAGTACAGACTGATAGTACAATAGTATAGACTGATATTCCAATAGTATAGACTGATATCCCAATAGTATATACTGATAGTACAATAGTATAGACTGATAGTCCAATAGTATAGACTGATAGTCCAATAGTATAGACTGATAGTCCAATAGTATAGACTGATAGTCCAATAGTATAGACTGATAGTCCAATAGTATAGACTGATAGTCCAATAGTATAGACTGATAGTCCAATAGTATAGACTGATAGTCCAATAGTATAGACTGATAGTCCAATAGTATAGACTGATAGTCCAATAGTATAGACTGATAGTCCAATAGTACAGACTGATAGTACAATAGTATAGACAGATAGTCCAATAGTACAGACTGATAGTACAATAGTATAGACTGATATCCCAATAGTATATACTGATAGTACAATAGTATAGACTGATAGTACAATAGTATAGACAGATAGTCCAATAGTACAGACTGATAGTACAATAGTATAGACAGATAGTCCAATAGTATAGACTGATATCCCAATAGTATATACTGATAGTACAATAGTATATACTGATAGTACAATAGTATAGACAGATAGTCCAATAGTATATACTGATAGTCCAATAGTATAGACTGATAGCCCAATAGTATATACTGATAGTCCAATAGTATAGACTGATAGCCCAATAGTATATACTGATAGTCCAATAGTATAGACTGATAGCCCAATAGTATATACTGATAGTCCAATAGTATAGACTGATAGTCCAATAGTATAGACTGATAGCCCAATAGTATATACTGATAGTCCAATAGTATAGACTGATAGCCCAATAGTATATACTGATAGTCCAATAGTATAGACTGATAGTCCAATAGTATAGACTGATAGCCCAATAGTATATACTGATAGTACAATAGTATAGACTGATAGTCCAATAGTATAGACTGATATCCCAATAGTATATACTGATAGTACAATAGTATATACTGATAGTACAATAGTATAGACAGATAGTCCAATAGTATATACTGATAGTCCAATAGTATAGACTGATAGCCCAATAGTATATACTGATAGTCCAATAGTATAGACTGATAGTCCAATAGTATAGACTGATATCCCAATAGTATATACTGATAGTACAATAGTATATACTGATAGTACAATAGTATAGACAGATAGTCCAATAGTATAGACTGATAGTCCAATAGTATAGACTGATAGCCCAATAGTATATACTGATAGTCCAATAGTATAGACTGATAGTCCAATAGTATAGACTGATAGCCCAATAGTATATACTGATAGTCCAATAGTATAGACTGATAGCCCAATAGTATATACTGATAGTACAATAGTATAGACTGATAGTCCAATAGTATAGACTGATATCCCAATAGTATATACTGATAGTACAATAGTATAGACTGATAGTCCAATAGTATAGACTGATAGTCCAATAGTATAGACTGATAGTCCAATAGTATAGACTGATAGTCCAATAGTATAGACTGATAGTCCAATAGTATAGACTGATAGTCCAATAGTATAGACTGATAGTCCAATAGTATAGACTGATAGTCCAATAGTATAGACTGATAGTCCAATAGTATAGACTGATAGTCCAATAGTATAGACTGATAGTCCAATAGTATAGACTGATAGTCCAATAGTATAGACTGATAGTCCAATAGTATAGACTGATAGTCCAATAGTATAGACTGATAGTCCAATAGTATAGACTGATAGTCCAATAGTATAGACTGATAGTCCAATAGTATAGACTGATAGTCCAATAGTATAGACTGATAGTCCAATAGTATAGACTGATAGTCCAATAGTATAGACTGATAGTCCAATAGTATAGACTGATAGTCCAATAGTATAGACTGATAGCCCAATAGTATATACTGATAGTCCAATAGTATAGACTGATAGTCCAATAATATAGACTGATAACCCAATAATATAGACTGATAACCCAATAGTTTAGACTGGTAACCCAATAATATAGACTGATAACTATATACTGATAGTACAATAGTAAAGACAGATTGTCCAATAATATAGACTGATAACCCAGTCTAAACTATTGGGTTATCAGTCTATATTATTGTACTATCAGTCTATACTATTGGGATATCAGTCTATATTATTGGACTATCAGTCTATACTATTGTACCATCAGTCTTATATCCCTATAGTATTGATTGATAACCCAATAGTATAGACTGATGTCCCAATAGTATTGATTGATAACCCAATAGTATAGACTGATGTCCCAATAGTATTGATTGATAACCCAATAGTATAGACTGATAGTCCAATAGTATAGACAGATAGTCCAATAGGATATACTGATAGTCCAATAGTATAGACTGAAAGTACAATAGTACAGACTGATAGTACAATAGTATAGACTGATATCCCAATAGTATATACTGATAGGACAATAGTATATACTGATAGTATAAGAGTATATACTGATAGTACGATAGTATAGACAGATAGTCCAATAGTATATACTGATAGTCCAATAGTATAGACCGATAGTCCAATAGCACAGCCTGATCGTACAATAGTATAGACAGATAGTATAATAGTATATACTGATAGTATAATAGTATATACTGATAGTATAAGAGTATATACTATTGTACTATCAGTATATTCTATTGGGATATCAGTCTATACTGATAGTACAATAGTATATACTCTTATACTATCAGTATATACTATTATACTATCAGTATATACTATTGGGATGTCAGTCTATACTATTGATACTATTGGGTTATCAGTCTATACTATTGGACTATCAGTCTGTGCTATTGTACTATCGGTCTATACTATTGGACTATCAGTCTGTGCTATTGTACTATCGGTCTATACTAATGGACTATCAGTCTGTACTATTGGACTTTCAGTCTATACTATTGGACTATAGTATATACTATTGGGCTATCAGTATACACTATTGGGATATCAGTCTATATTAATGGACTATCAGTCTATACTATTGGACTATCAGTCTGTGCTATTGTACTATCGGTCTATACTAATGGACTATCAGTCTGTACTATTGTACTTTCAGTCTATACTATTGGACTATCTGTCTTTACTATTGTACTATCAGTATATACGATTGGGATATCAGTCTATACTATTGTACTATCAGTATATACGATTGGGATATCAGTCTATACTATTGGACTATCAGTATATACTGTTGGGCTATCAGTCTATACTATTGGACTATCTGTCTTTACTATTGTACTATCAGTATATAGTTATCAGTCTATATTATTGGGTTACCAGTCGAAACTATTGGGTTATCAGTCTATATTATCGGACTATCAGTCTATACTATTGGGTTATCAATCAATACTATGGGGATATCAGACTGATAGTACAATAGTATTGACTGATAGTCCAATAGTATATACTGATAACCCAATAGTATAGAATGATAACCCAATAGTATAGACTGATAACCCAATAGTATCAATAGTATAGACTGACATCCCAATAGTATATACTGATAGTACAATAGTATATACTGATAGTATAAGAGTATATACTGATAGTACAATAGTATAGACAGATAGTCCAATAGTATAGACTGATAGTCCAATAGTATATACTGATAGTACAATAATATAGACAGATAGTCCAATAGTACAGACTGATAGTACAATAGTATAGACTGATAGTCCAATAGTATAGACATGTAACCCAATAGTATATTCTGATATCCCAATAGTATAGACTGATAGTACAATAGTATAGACATGTAACCCAATAGTATATTCTGATATCCCAATAGTATAGACTGATAGTCCAATAATATAAACTGATATCCCAATAGTATATACTGATAGGACAATAGTATATACTGATAGTATAAGAGTATATACTGATAGTACAATAGTATAGACAGATTGTCCAATAATATAGACTGATAACCCAATAATATAGACTGATAACCCAATAGTATAGACTGATAACCCAATAATATAGACTGATAACCCTATAATATAGAACAATAACCCATAAATGTATAAATGTACCCCTTTCATTATAATGTATATCGCATTATTTCAGATATGACCGAAACAACAGTATCTTCCCAGAATGCATCGGTTACGACATCAGCTCCACAATCCTCTCAATCTTTGTGCCCGACATTTCCCGTGGAACAGGAAAACAAAAAGCTTACCTTCGCTATGATACCAAACAAGTGTGAACTGTAAGTACGTTGATTCTATCTTATCAGTTAATGGCTGTTTAACTTCTGAAATCAAATTGATTGATAAAAAATTTCAAGGAAAATTAACCGTAAGTAAAACAGATTGGAAAAACTGCGATCTCGTGCTGATCGTATGTCTTCTTCAAATGAATTGTTTTAATGTTAATATCAATAACTTGACTGTACCTTAATGTCATCAATACCAACACAGAAGGAGAGCAATCATTTCAGTAAATGTCTGTCAAAATGGAAACAGTATTTTCGGAAAGCGTTCCTGACTCGGAACAAACATGTGCAATGTACGAGTGGTGATTTTTACAGGTTAATGAACTGACTAAACATTTGAAATAAGAATACATGTATACACAGCACTCAGTTAAGGGAGGTAACTCTAATACTTATCACAGTTATGATGTTTAAGGTAGCATATCCTTAATATTAATACAAATCACAGGTATAATATATGAGGTAGCATATAACCTTAATTCTAACACAAATCACAGGTATAATGTATAAGGTAGCATATAACCTTAATTCTAACACAAATCACAGGTATAATGTGTAAGGTAGCATATATCCTTATCTCTATCACAGGTCACAGGTATAATGTGTAAGGTAGCATATAACCTTAATTCTAACACAAATCACAGGTATAATGTGTAAGGTAGCTTATATCCTCAACTCTATCACAAATCACAGGTATAATGTATAAGGTAGTATATCACCTTAATTCTAACACAAATCACAGGTATAATGTATAAGGTAGCATATAACCTTAATTCTAACACAAATCACAGGTATAATGTGTAATGTAACATATA